CGCAAAAACATGATCAACCATCGATCAAGGTTTCATCGCGCCAAAAGTCATGTTTGCCCAGTGTGTAGCGCTGCCTTTAAAAGTCCGTCCAAACTGAGACTACACCAACTAATTCACCCCCAAAATAATCGTCTGCAGGTAACTTCTTGTTGTTTACACCAGTGTTAGTTTAACTTCACCCTTGTTTCTTTTTAAGGATTTTGAGAAGTTTCCGAAACTTGTCGCTCCAGCTGACGACTATCGCAGGCGTACCGATGGCAGGTACTCAGAGGCGTACTCTTCTGTTCCAGATGGTAAAACTGTTGTATTTCACATCTTCTGATCTAATCCATTGTTTCTAATTTGCATAGTTTTCATCGATGTTGATCCGGTGCATGACCAACCAACAGACCCAACTGACGACAACATTGTGGACGCACTGAAGATTCTCTTCTCATGTCAGAAACATAGTAAAATTAAAGAAATTATTGCCAACATCAAAGACGAGTGGCATATTATATACTCTATACACCTGATAAAAGCCTCTGGTGATAAGACTTCGCTAGAAGATATCACAACACGTCTTCTTCTACAGTATCCGATTAAGAAAAAGGTGGGGGTCAGCACTTCTCAGGGAATTCTTTCAAAGTACTCTAGCATATTCAGTAAGAACAGACAAAAGTATCTCCCCAGTTGCCTTTTAGGCAAAGACACTGTTGACGGACGGTTCACACCTTCTGATGATGTTATCCATCTGTTCGTTAGCATTCGCCAATACAGAGTTAAAGAATACCAAGATCCGCGCTTCTCAGAAAAAAAGATTGATGGTAAGCATCATTTAGTGCAATTTGAAACTTTCAACCTTTTAACTTCTATCTTTTCAGTACCAACCTTGAGGTCCCTTAAACGATGGGCAAAAGCTATGCTTTCAAAGTTAGAAGTTCAAGAGCCATTGTCTTCTGCCGAGTGGCCGTCAGCATCAGAGCCTCTCGCTAGGAAGATAATCAATGATCAGCTTAAAGAACACCCGTCTCTCCTACGCATCCTGAACGACTTCTCCTACTACAAGGTACATCTTTGTCGGGCAGTCAAGTTTATGCTGCTGTCAAATTATCCTCTACGGAAAGCAAAGCAACTGGCCCGAATTTACGTCAACTTGGAAAGACCGTCGGGCGATGGAGTCTACGACCTACTGATGGCGGCTATTTATTGTGGTATTTCCTCTCTCTTTGCTGCTGGCAGTCGAGATTACGTACACAAACGGTTTGTTCAAAAAGGGACTGCCAAAAACAACGCCCGCCTTTACCGCGTCTTCAAGGAAAGTCGACAACACGGCCGTGACCTGCTCTCCTTCGGCATCCTCAGCAACTGTGGCCTCATCTCGCGAGGCACAGCTCACTTTGCTGAAGTCTGCGTCATAGCATTCCTGCAGCTGCTCAAGCCCAACTACAACAAACAGCGAGGAAACAAAAGCCAGATCGAAAGCAGCGTCGCCCAAGCTCTGCCTTTAAAAATGCTGCAAGAGATCGGCTTGGTTCTGCTGCTCGCAGGCTGGCTGAACTTCAATACAGGGGCAGGCGCATTGGCGCCTGCGTGGATGGAGGCGCTTGCCTCTCCGCCCGAAGGACCAATACTACCTCTTCGGCTGCGACTCCACGGGAAAGAAGAGGTCGACGATGACGACGGAGAAGAAGAGGACGAAGACGAAGAAGAGGAGGATGAAGAGGAGGACGAAGAGGAGGACGAAGAGGAGGACGAAGAGGAGGACGAAGAGGAGGACGAAGAGGAGGACAACAACGGAGATGACGGAGAAGACTAAGCAAAGCTGGTCTTCATTGTGGCAGGCATTCTCCTCTACTGTTTTTTGTGTTGAAGCTTAGTTTTTCCCTCAATAAATCTTTATTCATTCCCTTTTTGTAAACACCACGCTGACCACGCTCTATCAATCAGATGTTCCTCATTGCCGACAAGGAGTACCTCTACTACTGGGACGACAATACATTCTCAGTGATCTGTCGGTGCTGCACCCGCTCAAGCACCGGCCCAAGAGGTTCTTTGGCCGTAGAAAGCACGGGGCGTCATGATCAGCTGATGATGATAATGGTGGTATTTCATTTGATGATTCAATTGATGATGATGTGCCATGATTGAAGANCATCGGCCCAAGAGGTTTTTCGGCCGTCGAAAGCACGGCGCGTCATGATCGGCTGATGATGATAATAATGGTATTTCATTTGATGATGCAATTGATGATGATGTGCCATGATTGAAGACCCATCACAGCGGCGAACACCTTGTCAACACCTCTTGTAACAGATCCAAACAGCGCTCTTTCTTCTCTGTACATAGTTTCACCCCCAGTTTGAACGCACTTTTGATATTTTTTTGCTTTTACATTTTCGCGTCACCTCTTGTTTACATCTGTTCTTGTTGTGTAGCTGCCACAACCGTTGCCTTCTTTTTCTCTCCGTTTTTTCTCCACCGGTGCCACCCCCATCTCTGACCACTCCAGTCACCATCTCCTTTTCTTCTGTGTATACATTTGTTTCATATTCCTTCATCGACTATACAGTTATGCGGATTTTTCTTCATCATTTTAAACACTTCATCAGTAAATTTTCAATAATAAAAAGCTTTTTTGCTTCATCAACAGTTGATGTAGTGATTGCACTTTAAAAGTTTGTACGATATGTGCAGTTTGGAGTTCTTTACTCTTTGTTCTTCAGAACCCGCTTGGCATGCAAAATTTTGCGACTTGAGGTATTCACCTGAATTGACATGGCTTTGATTTCGTTCATCAACTCTTGGTTGTACCTAGGGTAACAAATGAAAGGCGTTACAAATGAACAAACTACACACTGTCATACCAAACTTACTCGTTCTTAAGCAGCTTGATGTTGACGTACAGCTGGGCCTTGCAAAGCAGTTCATCTACGTACAAATTTTACCATTAATTTCCTTTAAACTTAATCTCAGATGTCCAAACATACCTCGTGGATAGGTTTCATGGAACATCACCATAAAGTTTTTTCGCATCTCCCAGTGCTTGTCAGCTTCCCAGTGCTTGCGGTGGGTGTCAATCTCTTCCAAAGGCATCATTTGCTTGCCATAATCGGGATCCATTGCGTCAAATAGCTGAAATGGTCCAACAAAAAATCTAGTTAGTCTTTCTCAGAACTGCTCCAAATGAAGTGTAAACAAATCCAGGAAATCTTACCGCAATAAGCTGTAAAGTTCCCGAACTTGCCCCGTGCCAGGTCAGCTTTCGAACTTAAGTAGGATTGGTCGCAAAGATGAAAATTGGAACAGTAAACCGCTCTTGATATGATTATCAAATGGCGCCCGAGGGGGATTCCCGGAATTACTGGAGCCACACGTGTGCTAATCAGGGCGCTGGACTTTCACTCTTCTTTGTGTGCGGCTGTGCCCCGTGGTACCGTCCTCTACTGACGCCCCGCTGCAACTGACTTCGCTGCTCGCTGTGTTGTGCTGCTGCACTCAATGCATTGACAAATAAAAGAAAAAAGTCATCTACGTTACTCGCTACTTCTACTTCGCGCCCGTTCCAACGTTGGACTAGCTCCATCGCCGCCGACGCCGCCCCTCTGCCGCCCACCAGGCCGCAATGATGAACGCCAATCAGCAGTACCCACCGGCGGCCAACAATGCCTACTACCAGACAGCGTCCGGCTACCCGAAGGCGTACCCAGCGCCGCCAGGACAGCCGTCCGCCAGCATGCAGAACGGACACTGGCCACCGCCGCCGCCACAACAAATGCCGCCAATGCCGCCCGGTGCCCAAGCCAAGAAGGCCCCTTATCCTGGTGGACCGCCCATGGATCAGCAGCCTCAGCAGCAGCCTTCTCCTCAGGCGTACCACAGTCAGCAGCAGCAGCAGGCAGCTGCAGCATATCAACAGCAGCACCATCCCAATGCGTACTATGGGCGGCCGCCGATGCATTCGGCGAGCATGCAGCAACAGCAATATCCGCCTTCAAATATGTCACCTCAGGCGGCGGCCCGACACTATCCGGTACCGCCGCAGCAGCAACACCCTAGCCAGCGTTTCCCCAATTCGTATCCCAATTCACCCTACCGCAATGATCCAGCCGAGGGAGGCAAGCCAACAGGCTATCCTTACGGACCAGGTGCCAACTACAACTACGATCAGCAATCCTCGTCACGTCCCCCAATGACGCCTCAACAGCAGCAACAACAACAACAACAGCAGCAAGGGCAACCACAACCTCCACAACAACAGCAGCAGCCGCCACCGCAGTCACCATACAATCAACAGCACCCACAGCATCAACAACAACAGCCGCCGAACATGTATCCCCATCAGATGCCCTCCAACATGTCTCCTTACCAGCAAAGACAGTACATTGATGCACGGAACTACAGCAATCACATGAACCAAATGAATCATGAGCAGGCTGCGCGAATGCGGCATTTTCAAGCGGTCAACCAGGCTGCAGCTGCCGCCGCCATGAACCAGGCCAACTACGGTCAGCCGCAGCCACGTATGCCAATGCAGAACGCGATGGCCACACCACCACCGCCTTCACAGTCTCCGGCGGCTCAGATGAGTCATGTGGCCATCAAGGCGCCCATAAACATGCATCCCAACTTCAACATCAACATTAATCTGCGCTCAGCATCACCGGCTCTTCCTGCCATGATGGCCAACGATGTGACGCCCGTTAAGAAGGAGATGAATGACAGACACCTTCGCCAGGCGCTGAGCGCAGCTAATGTGCCATCGGTTTCTCCACTTTCCTCCATGATGTCACTGACAAGAGAAGTCAGAATTGACACGGTGGAGACGACTAAGCCACTGTTCAGAAAGATTAGACCACTGTCTAACGTTGGCCATGTTGACAATCGCAAAATAATGATGAGTCTCAAGTCGGGTCTGCTTGCCGAGACTACCTGGGCTTTCGATGTGCTAAACGTGCTCTCCCACAATGGCGCTTTCAAGCTCACCACTTGCCCCAGTCTGTTGACAAACCTGCTCGACTACTACAAGTGCTTCCTCAATTCCATTTTCGATGATCTTTTTGACGCAAACACGGAGAACGATTTTAAGCTGATCAAGACGGTGAAGAGTGTTGCTCCTGCCGCTGTAGAGGAGAACAGCGACCACGCACCGGACATGTGCAAGGAGGAGTTTGAGAGTTTAATACGCAAGGACGAGAAGGTGTACCTGCTTGATTCGACCAACTACACCTTCAAGTCTCGGAGCGGCCTTCCAGTACAAGTCAAAAATGAGCCTCGAGCCTACTCCTCAACAGGACTACCTCTGGTCAATGAGATCACCATCGTGGAGGATACGGGTGACTTTAAGTTCTTTCAAGATGTGAACGGCCTGCCCACCAATCACATTGTCACCAATATGGACCCAATCAAAGAGCTGATTAACTTTGCTCCTAAAAGTCGCGCCGAAAAGTCAAAGTCTGTCCTTCTCAATGGCGACGCCGAGGTTGCTGTTCAGAAGAACGGCAACGGGACTGCTGTTGCTTCTGCTGCTTCCGAAGGTTCATCTGACTCTAGAAGGTGCAAAAGAAAATTAGAGTGGGACACTGAGGCCGAGCTGTACCGCGTGAACACCAACACCGCACTGTGCCCACGCCGAGAGTCAATAGAGATGCTGATCAAGCGGTGTCACTGCCTCTCCACCATCATTCGCAATTTCTCCTTTCTCCAGGACAATGCCATTATCATGGCACGCTACACCTCGCTTCAGCTCGTTCTGGCAAGGCTTCTCGCCTTCAGCCATGAACACTACGAGAAGAAGAACTTTGCTCGCATTCTCAAGGACCAGCAAAACAAGTCTCGGGAGAAGGAGAACCAGGAGGCGGCCGAGATATTCACCGACCACTGCTTCGACTCGCTGCACCTCATTCGGATGAACACCCTGGTGTGTCTGTCAAACATGAGCGAGTACCTCGACCTGGCGAGCTATCCTGATAAGATTATACTGCCCCTGCTGGACGGACTGCTGCACTGGGGAGTGTGCCCCTCTGGCTACGCCAGAGACACTCACCCACCGGACAATTTGTCCTATCAGCTGCTCGCCCTGGAGACCATCGCCAAGCTGAGCATGAAGGTCTCCAACATTGACCTCTTTCTCGCCACGCCGCCCTTCAGTAGAATCGAGGAGTTCTACAAGGTGCTGGTCGGTCTGCTGAACCGCGATGAGGAGCAGGTGCTTCGTGAGCTGTCCATAGTCATTCTGTCGAACTTTGCCGCCGCCGACGTGCTCTCTGCTCGGATCATCCTCCACCAGGACTACTCCATCTACAACCTAATTATGTTCATCGAGCAGTATGACTACACGAAGAAGGCGCAGCTGTACAACCGCTTTGCCGGCTTCATGGAGCCCTTCACCATCACGTACATGCTGAAGCAGGCGGCGACGACGATGCGCACACTGGCCACTGAGTGTGATCGCCAGGACCTGCATCTGATCAAGAAGTTCGAGGATCGCATCGTCGACCTGACCACCTCCCATGTACTGGACTCAGAGGTGTCGCAAGTACTCGCCGACCTTATTTTCATTCTAGCAAACAGTGAAAAGTCAAAGTGAGGTAGTTTTTATTATTTTTTCCTTGCGTCAATGAGTGAGCGAGTGAATCATTTTGCTGTACATTGAAAGCCACTCTCTCTCTCTCTTCCTCTTACTCTTCCTTATATCTCCCACTTCTTTCTGTTCAGCCGCACTTGTACTACCACACAGGTGAGAATCTATGCGAATCTTTTAACTTTTGTTATCGTTCATACCTTTTGTCTATTCATTTACACGCACCCACTTTCAGCTCTTATATAATTATTGTACCGCATGTATTTCACCTGTCATATATATTAAATTGTAATTTATCTAACTGCAGTGACTTTGCTCTTGTGGACAGTTGGTGGTGGTGATGGTGGTCAGGAAAAGAAATTGCTCAGATCGAAATGGTAAGTGCATCTGTGAGGTGGAGGAGGAGGAGGAGGAAGTGCCACCGATCTGATGATTGGCAGCAGCCTCTCCTGACTCGTAACTTTTGAACTTGGCCTTTCTTCCTTCTCACACACTCCTGCTGAACGACTTTTCTCAGCTTCAACTCTCTTTGTGGTGATGATGATGATGACGATGGCGAGGAGGACAACGATGACGACGATGATGGTGCTGCTCAGGTTCAATGTTGAGGCTAATTTGATGTGCTTTGTGTCTGTGCCACTGTGCTTCAGTTTGTAGTTCGTGCAGACGATCGGCCAGCTAGGCAACAAAAATGAGGAGGAAAAGTGGACACAATCACCGCTGATTAGCCTCCTCCCCCTTCGTACAGCATACGGTGAATAGAAGAAGACACAAAGAAGAAGAAGTAAAAGTGGAAGGAGAAGGAGAAAGTGTTCTTTCTAGAAGGGCCACTTTTCAGCCGGCTGTTGCTACTGATCTTTCTCTCTTTCTTGGCAATGGCAGTTCGGCAATTGTCTCCTACTCGAAACTGATGGTGGTGGCGATCAGCGAGTGGCCTGACAGTCTTCGGATGAACGGTCACTGTCTTTCAGGTCATGTGCTGCTTCTTTTTTTCCTCTGATACTGGCCTGGGGTTGGTAACCACGAGTCTACTGGAAAGACTGGTGGCACACGTGGGCAATAAGATGCGGGGAGATTTCTCGTAAATGTCAATGTGCCTCCCTCGTGCTTTATCAGTCACTGTCACCACCGGTACTGTATTCACAGACACACACACACACATGCACTGGGCGCCAGACGACAACCAGACACTGTCAGGAGCAGAAGACAAACATAAACACTCATACTCTTTTTCTCACTCTCATAAACGCCTACTTTCTGTCATAGTCAGTGCTGTGTGCCTGCGTAAGTGTGATTACCAATTGCCAGTGCACTCTGATGCAGTGCAGTGATCGCTGCACGCTCCATCGACGACACGGTCAACGGCTTAATTCCGGCTATCAGCATTTAATAATGCGTGCTCAGTGAGCACTGCTCACTGATGATGTTGTTGATCAGACTCGATTATCAATCGAAGTTGC